AAGTAAAAATTTCCCCTTATTTTGGAGCTTTTGAACTTTTATTTTTGAAATTCAAATATTCTGCCAGGAGAGTTACATGTATCAATATGCTTTTTTTCCCCCTCAGTATTCTGCCCAGTACTTCTCAAAACTATGAAGATGCAAAACAGTATTCAACATCAGGAAGTTTTCTTCTTGTTCTCTTTGTTCCCTTCACCCCACCCCCATTTCTTAAATTTAATTTTTGAAAATTTTTATTCTTTGCTCTTTCTTGTTCTGGAAATCCTCTTTCACAGATACTGAATATCCTGGCCTTCTCCTCATCTCTAATCTTTTTCACATGATTTCTTTGTCTTCAGATTTACTATGCATTATGAGGACATTTCTTGAATTTAAAATCGCTGATTTGATGTATATTTTTCTATTTAATACTTTTATTTGGTTATTTTGGCAGTTTGGGGTTTCTTTTTTTCTCCTCCCCAAACGCATATTTTCCACTTCTTTTCTGGAGCAGCTTGCTTTTTGTTTTAAATGCTGTTCTTCCCTGGCTTCAATAGAAACACTTTGTAATTTTTTTTCAACCTCTAGTATTCTTCATTAATTCTGTTTCACTTTGGGCTATTAGTTTTGAGTAGGTTATTGTTTGTCTTCAGTATGTCTGATCAGATTTTTTCATCAGTTTTTGTGCTGGGTGATTCTCAGCATGGAAAGTGAGCCAGCAAATGTGCTCCTCACAGAGTGTGGGTTGGGAGCAGATGCTCAGGGAGAGGAAGTTTTAATGAGTGTAGTTGTCCAGCAGGGGCGGATTGCCTAGAGTAATTGCCTAGAGAAGACAAGCCTGGTTTTTGCTCATTACCTGTAGAAGTTCATCCAGACTGCTTTGGTTGTATGGTAGACACCTTAAAGTAGCTGAAACATTGATTTAAAAGGGTTTAATTACCTCTATTCCTTTGGATTGAGTATAAAAATTGTGTAATCTGGTGCTTTTTAATTATTCATTTTGGTGTTTACTTTTAATGAAGGTAAGTGTGGTATTCCCAAGTTAAAACCCTGAGTTTTAAGCAAAAAACTCCAGATACTATCAGTCTGTCTTTTTGTATATTAAGATACTAGTTGCTGATTATTACCAGCAAGCACCTTTGAACTGATACGTTATAAAATAATGATACTGTATTGAAGATTGAGCTTTTTTTTTCATACCAGGCACCAAGCTTTGTAAGATATCCAAGGGACCCTGATGTGAAAATTGTCTCTCGGACTGATAATCACTGTCCTGTTTTCTCAGGAAAGATTCCCAGGACGCGTGAACCATTTTTTCATTCCATCTATGATATTTTTCTTATTTCAGAAGTACAGGCTGTTGCTTACTTCAGTTGGCTGTGTATTTGATATATTCCTCTCATTACTTTTCATAATCTGCTTTTCCCATTTTGGTTAGAAATAGAGACGAGACTATGATTTAAATTGAAGAGGGTAATATGTGAGAAATTTTAATCTTCTGTCTTTTGTTTTTGAGAGGTAGGTTATTAAAATCAAACTAAAAACCAGAGAGCCCTAGTATAAGAGAAACATTGTGGGAAACAGGAAGGCCTTTCTTCCTAGCCTTCTTGGCGTATTTAAATCTCCTTGAGGACGTAAACATTTGGAAAGAAAAACAGAAGCTGGGTTTAGATAGCCTATGACAAATCTTATATTATATGATAGTTACATAGACAGTGCTTTGCATGTGATATTAATAGGAGAGAGGAAACATAGGGCAATTAACATTTACTTAAAAGAGAGGGAGTGGTAATGTGAATTCTGAAAATGAGGAAACTGGAAACCCAGTCTCCATGAGGGCAGGTACCATGTCTGTTCATCATTGCCTACCTATTCAGTACCTGTCACTGTCCCTGATAGGTGGCAGGCTTTTGGTTAATGTATGTTAGATAAGCAAATATCTATTTGTTGAATAAACTGAAGAATGCCTTGATGGAGATAATATATTTGGGCAGAAGTGAAATGAAAAGGCTTCAGAAAATATGAGGACATAGAAGTGATAGATGATTGATCACATTAGAATGCCAGTCTGATTGGAGCTGTGATAATGAGCGGGAAAGTTTTGAGAATAAGGCTATCAGTGGTAGGTTAGGGTCAAATTATTCATTATAAATAGTTTTGATTGCTAGACTTAGGAATTTGGGATTTGTTTTTTAAACAAAGTGTGGTTTTGCTGAACAGATGGTCACATTGTTAAAGTAGTGTTTTAGGAAGACAGTCTGAAGACACAATGATTGTCTTCAGGTTGCAGTGAGAAGAGATTGGAGACCAGCTTTCATTCCAGTTGCAATGTTGGATACGGATTCTTTGGCCAGTAGTCATGCTCAATAAAATTATTAATATTTCTTTACATGTAATATGTTACATACAGGTGAGTTTTAAGCCCTGGTGATTGAACATAATGACATAGCTGTCTTTTTCATTATGTATTTAATTTTCCTTGGCATTTTGTTGTTGATCTTCATGGCTTTTATATGAGATCATGGTATAAATTTTGAATACATTTATTCTTTTCTTATTTGCCTTTTGTTAATGTCAAGCATAGCACATGAGACATTCCTTGTTGCTATGCAACTGCTAAATTCAATATTTAATATTAATAAAATTGAGTGGCATTAAATTCAGTTAAGCAGAGTAGGCAAAATATGACTTAACGGTGTCTGATCAATGTTTGTGTGGTTTAATGTATTGTTGCAGACATGAACAAAAGAATAGTGACTTGTTTACAGTTGCTCTTTTGATCAAAATTAGTTGTGGTTAAATCTTTGCTTTTATAACCAGATTTTTTTTCTTGCTTGATTATTTTTGGTCTTTCCCTTTTCCTGCTCTTTGATAATGTGATTCAATTTTTGTTAGTGTTTTTGTGTTATTGATGTTCTTACTATTCTTTCTAATTGTTATTTTTGTAATTTTAAAAATTTTACCTCCCAGGGCTTTTATTTGATTTTTTTTCTTCCTTAGTATTATTTTTTGCTATATTTATGTTTTTCCCTTTCAAGCATTTATACTAAGCATACACATTTGGAATTTGTTATTATTTCGTATAAATCCAGGTGAAGGGATATTAGATTTGCTCTTCAGAATGAGAGCCACCCATAATCCCCTTTAGTTATTTGCAGTGTGTACTTGGTACTTGCCAGATATTGAAACACTTTCATTAATATTTGTGAAGTTAGAAATCCATTTTGGGAGTAAGAGGGCTCTGGAGGCAGGCTGCAGGATTTTTTTTTTTTTTTTTTTTGCTTTGTAAGCTAGTGTTGGAAATACCTAGTTTGCAGACCCAAGATAGGCAGTACCTAGCAGTTCCTTCTCATTCCCTCACCACCACCTCCCCACGCTCAAAAACCGTAGCCCAACACTTTATCCTCCCTAGTATAGAGAAAAGAGGACATAGTAATTAAGTGAACAGTGTTTTAATTATAGTAGGCAAATAATAAACAGGGTAGATATTTCCCATTTGCTTGAATGGGTAGTTTGGTTTTGCTAATGTCCTTGGAATAATTTTGATGGGAAGAACAAAAGAGAGTTGAAAAACGATTGTTAATAAATGAAAAACCTAGAATCTAGAAATCATGAAAATAGTACAGGAAAGTCAAGTAACTACAGTGTAGACGTACAAACTCGAGGGTTTACTGTATTGAATATGATGACTTAATATTAAGGACAAAGGAATCCTTTACATTACAATGTTACTCTTATAAGGAGATAAGATACTGTTTCTTGGGACCATCTTTCCTACCCCCTTACTTTGCATACTTTTCCTGGTGATTGTATTTGTGGCTGGGAAATGTCCCTGTTTGTGGGCCTCGTGTGTCCACCAGGCTATAGGATTTTAAATTTTTGTTTCCCTCACTTTTGAACATGGGGGTACTTTTTAACAATTAAAAAAAAATTGTAAACCCTTAGGTGGTAATCAGATTATGTGACAAAATGCATAGTGACCCAAACTACTAGGCATTCAGTAAAACTTACATATTTTCTTACTTACAATAATATTTCTGTACATTTGAAAAGTTGTGTGTACATTGAATGCACAAGACCATTTCTTTCTTTCTTAAAGGACATGGATTTATAGACCTCTTGTTTTACTTAGTTGAGCTCCAAATGAAGTCATGATACATATAGTTTGGGAACTGCTGCACTAACCCATTATTTGTTGTGTTGTATGAAGGTACAGTTTGCTTTTCTTTTGCATTTTCCTCCTTAACTCTTAATACCCATAGAAGACATTAAGGTGACAAAGATATTTTTTAACTTGTTTTTCATTGAGTTAATCAGTGGTATTTGAGGTAATAAATTAGAAAAGTTTATTTTATTTTTTGTTTTCATTTTCTACTTTATACTGGTAGAAAGTGATAATAGTTTAAACATCTATGTATAGGTATCTTTGAATTCTCTTTCTGTCTCTTTTTGTATGTATAATCAATGGTTCATAAAGGAACCCAGTAGTTACTGTGACAGTGTGAACTAATGACAAAGGTCTTCTTCTTTTGTGATACAAATGTTGTTTTCAGTGAGGCTTTTCCTTCTTAAAAAACTGTTAGATTGAAGAATCTATTAACTCTCAATTCATATTCAGAAATATGCTGTTTAGATTAACCCAGAATACTGAAAATTTTGAAGCAGTTTGACTCTTTGGGAAAGGTACCTCTTAAAATGAAGTTTGAAAGTTTATGTAAAGAGGTATTTGAAATTTTGTAAGATGGTAAGAGACCTCATTAATTTGCATGCCTTCATTGGTTATTTCTACTGTTGTTTTGTATTGTCCTTGAATGGGTTGTGAATTTGTATTGAGTGTTAATCACTGACAAAAATGCAAATGCTCCTTTTATTGGTCATTGACACTCTCCTCAGCATCCTTTCAATAATAATCTGGAGGTCCTTGAGAATGGAAAGAAAGCACCATCATTTTTTTCATGGAACTAGGTTAAAATAACTGTAGGGAATATTATTGTAATAATGAATTTTTTTCATCCTTTCAGGGTTTGAAAGTATTCTTGAAGGGCTGTTTGGACCTGCATTATTAAAAGATCTCAGTTTATTTAAAGGTATTCAAAATCTTTCTTTGGTATTTCAAATCCTTCCTGGTGACATAAATGATATCTTGGTGACTTAAGCCCCAGTCTCCTTCTCCTTTTTTTTCACACTTTTGTGTGGGATGACGCTATGCCCATGGAAGCATCTTTTTGTATGTAGTTATCTGTGATAATGCAAATATATTTATGAATAAGGTATGTTAACTAGTGAGCAGTTATTGCAGATAAGGAGCCTATAGTTAAACCAGATAAAATTTTTGAAATTAGTTCTCATTTGTTTCCTAAAAAACCCTCTTTTGTGACTATTAATTTGTTATTCCTACTATTTTTGCAGACTGTGAACCTGAAAGCATTTCTGATTGGACTTTTGATGAAAATTGTCTGTTCTGTTGCTTGAGAAGAGATAAAGTAAAGGTAACCAAGAAACTTGTGAAACTGGTCTAGCGTGGTATTTTACAGATTTTATTTTCCCCAAAACTTGGTTACTTTGTTGGAGGATTTGTAGGAGTACAGATTCCATGTTCATTTATAAAGGATTTGATAGTAACTCGGTTTAGCGATTTAGATTGTTTCTAGTCTGTTGATTAGTCTGTTGAGAAATCTGTATCCCAACATGCAATGCTGTATTTATGTAGTTCACTAGACAGAATAATTAACTAGGTCTCAAACTGTTGTGTTATTTTAAATATGCAATGTATGGTAATTTGTGTAATGGGAGTCATTTATACAGTAACAAGGACCTAGATCAAGTAGTTATTAATTCATGTAGACTTACGATGGACTATGGTTTATGCTGTCTTATGTTTCTTCATAATATTTGTGCATGGATGCTGTTTTTATTCAGGTGTAGAAACTGGCTGTACTTTAGGGTTTCTCTTGTTTTATTGCTTTGTGTTAAATGTAAAAAGAATTTTGGTTTAGACATTTCAGTTGTTGGAAATTATTTATAATGATTTACAGTCTTATGTTTCTTTTCATGGTATTTCTATCCCATGGAAATGTTTAAAACATTGGAAGCATTTTTAATTCCTTACTTTTCCTTGTACACTTCTGACTTCAAATCACTGACCAGGTTGTATCAGTTCTTCTTTGTATTGAATATCCTTCTTTCTCTTTTCACAGTCATCACCGTAGTTCAGACCATTAGCATTTTTCTGGGCTACTGAAATAATTATTTCTCTCTCAGTTTTTGTCAGGGTGTGAAACACTGGTACATGGTTAGACCCTTCTCCCGACCTCCCCCTAACCCTCACCCTTCAAGTAGTATGGGAATGTTAACCTTCACTCAGCCTCTTGTGACTTTACAACTGTCTTTGGAATTCATTAGCCTAATGCTCAGAGTCTCAGTACCCTCCCAGTTCGGTACACTTCTCTTACCAATACTACTAGTCTTCTACACAAAATTGGTCTGATCATTTACATTAAAAAATATGCTTTTACCATTTGGACTAGGCCATTGCACTTGTTCTTTAAAGTTTGAAATTCTGCTTGTTCTTACTCTTACCTTAACTCCCCTTTCTTATAAATGGTATACCTCTGCTCTTACTGCTGGTCAACACTGTTGTAGTGAATATTACACCAATTATTTGTCAATTAATATTCTGCTTTCTGTTATTAATCCTTTTCTGTGTTTGAATCTTGTGTTCCTGACTACATTGTCAACTTCTGAAGACTATGGACCATGACTTACGGTTTTTTGTACCCTTGCGTATAGCCACTCTACCATTATTTACCATTGTTGGCAAGCTGCTTTAAAATAAAAGCTAATTTAAGAGCATTTTAATGTTCTTTTATGGCATCTTTTTCTTGCTTAAGTACATGAAAAAATTATTGCTGTGACTATCCAGGATGGTCTGTTTTTATTCAGTTAATGAGTAAAGTGTTTTGCAATTTATTCTGGTTTGGAAAAGACCGGAAAATTAAGCAGCTACCAATGAAGTTTAAATTCATCATTTTAACCTGTGTGTTTTTGTGTGTGCATGCATATATGTTGTGACCAATTATTGAGCAAGTTATTTAATAGGCATTTTGGTAATACAGAAGGAGCCAATGATTGATTACCTTTTTTTTCAGAAGAGGATTAGGAGGAAGGCTCCTCTGTGGTCAATAATAGAGTATAGTATATTCTTGTAATTTGATTGAGTTTCCCATTGCTATATGAGGATAAAATATTTCATGAATATTTTTAGAAGAAAATACAGAAATACAAGGCATGGAACCATGTAGCATTTAACCATGTAGCAGCTGTTCTTACTGTTTGTAGTTCTATAATTTTTAGTTAGTATTCCAGTTAGAAAGAATATTTGAAAGGCCAGCTAGATCTGGGAAAGCTAGTTTTCTCCATTAGACATTTTACTACCTGTCTTTGACATTTGTTTTTATCGAAGACAGCCATAATGTCTATGTATTTGAAAGTAGAGCCTAGAAAACATAACTTGTCAAATAAATAGCTTTATGTTGTGTTAGATTTAAAGTGACTGTGTTGAAACTCTTTCCAGACATTTGTGCATCTTATCTGAGAAGGAGTAGATCTGGAAGTTAATTGTACCTACGTTGGGTTGAGACTTGGCTGACTTTGGTGGTGGTGGTTTAGTTGCTGTCATGTCCAACTCTTGTGACCCTATGGACTGTAGCCTGCCAGGCTTCTCTGTCCCTGGAATTTTCCAGGCAAGAATACTGGAATGGATTGCCATTTCCTTCTCCAGGGGATTTTCCCAACCCAGGAATCGAACCCTGATCTCTTGCATTGCAGGCAGATCCTTTACTGACTGAGCTATGAGGGAAGCCCGTAAGATTCCAAAAATAAAAGAAGTATGTGGAGAGAATGGTTAACAGCCAAGAGGTGGCAGCATAGAGCACAATATTAGAATTTTGATTTGAGGTTGGCATGGTGAGATGTCAGGTAATGTTTGAAAAAGCTGTTAGAAATACTAGTCTGATATTTAAGAATGAGATGCAAGTTATTCCTAATTGTTTTTAATTGGATTTTCATTGGATACTGACTATTAGAATGGATAAAATAAATACATTATTTACATTTACTTTCAAATACATGTACTTTCCTGGTGACTCAGTTGGTCAAAGAATCTGCCTGCAGTGCAGGAGACCTGGGTTTGATCCCTAGGTCAGTCACGGAAATCCCCTGGTGAAGGGAAAGGCAACCCACTGTAGTGTTCTTGCCTGGAGAATTCCATGGACAGAGGAGCATGGTGGGCTACTGTCCATGAGGTTGCAAAGAGTTGGACACAACTGAGCAACTAACACTTTAAAAATATCTAGTGAAAAATATGAAGTTGCCTTTTTGGAAAATATAACAGGGACTTACCTAGAAAATAGTGAAGTGATTGTTCATCTACTCTTCAGCAGTTAGAAAATATATTTTGTATGGGAAAGACAAGTAACTTTTTTTTGAGCACCTGCTATGTGCCAGTTACTTTTATTTGTTCCCATTTAATTCTCACAACAACATCCCTATAAAGTTAGTTATAAAGTTGGTTAAAATCATCCCAGTTTTACAAAGAAAGAAATGGCAAGGATCAGAGTCTAAGTTATGGGCAAAGTCGCATAGCTGGGATTTGATCCATGTTTTTAGAGTACATGGATTTTGATTACAAAGCTAGAAACATGAATTGGAAAGTGGTAGAGTAAGAATTAAGTAGTATTTGAAATTAACTTAGTTTGGAAGAGGAAGAGAATAAGAGTGTAAATGGGCATGAGTATATTTGAAATAGCCAGTCTCAGTTGTGCTAAAAGTCTGTTAATGAGTGACTGTCTACCTGCCTTCCTTACTTGGATTCTCCCTTTTTTCCTTCCTTTCTTGTTTGTTGGGCATGTAGTAGATACTCTAAAATATGTACTAAATGGGTAACTAAGAAGTCAGTAGACATAATAAAGTTGGAGAATTATAATATTATAGCTAACTGTTTTGAGTGCTTATATACGCCAAGTATATACACAAAAAGCTTTCTGTGTACTATACACTTATGAGGATTTTATACTTTTTCCTAGCTTCTTTTTGAAATAATTTTAGACATATAAAACACTTGCAAAAATAATAAATTCCTCTATACCTAGGTTTCCCAAATGATAATGTCTTATGTAACCACAATACAATGATAAAAATCAGGAGATAAACATTGATTAAGTACTATAATTTGAAAACCTTTCAGAATTCACCAGTTACCCCAATAAAGTCATCTTTCTGGTCCAGGAGTCAATCTAGGCCCACACTTTGTTACATGGTTGTCATGTCTGCTTTGTCTCCTTTAGTCTAATAGTTCTGTTCTTCTTTGCCTTTCATGACGTTGACACTTTTGAAGAATGCTAGCAACTTGATTTGTCGGATGGTTCCTCAGTTTGTCTCGTGGTTCCTTGTAATTGAATTCAGATTATGCATGTTTGGCAAGAATTGCACAGAATTGACGTTGTGTCATCCTTAGTGCACCATATCAGGAAGCCCATGGTGATGTTTACTGTGATCACTTGGTTAAGATTGTGTCTGCCAAGTTTTCTCTACTGTAGGGTTTCTGTTTTTTTCCCTTTTGTGCTTGATAGGTATCTTGTGGAGACATACTTTGAGATTTTGTAAATGTTTTTTTCCCAATCATAATTTTAGTGTCAATTGATTAATCTTTAGTGTGAAAAAAAATCCTATCATGGTATTTACCAAATGATGCTTTCCTAGTTGTGTTACTTCTTCGAACTCTGTTTGTTGAAATCTTACTATAAGGAAGATGTTTCCCTTCTCTATTTATGCTTTTGTTGTTTTCCTGTCATTATTGACTCATGAATTCTTATTTTGTTTTTTGGATTATAATTTATTACAATCATTATTTATTTTGTAGTTTGAGTTGTTTTAGATTTGTCCATTGAAAGCCCATTCTGGTTGGCTTTTCATCTTTTTTTTTTTTTTTTTAAGCATGTTTCTATCAGTTCTTTACTTTTAGGCCCCCAAAACTGTTCCACATTTGTCTTTGCTTTCTCTATCCCAGCCTTGGATTTCTCCAGGGAATCCTCATTTCTTTTTTATTCTTTTAAATACCAAAAGTATTTTGCACTGGGGTATAGCCAATTCGCAGTGTTTTGACAGTTTCAGGTGAACAGTGAAGAGACTCAGCCGTAAATATACATGTATCCTGATGCTGGGAAAGATTAGGGGCGGGAGGAGAAGGGGCGGGCAGAGGATGAGATGGCTGGATGGCATCACCGACTCAATGGACATGAGTTTGGGTAGACTTTGGGAGTTGGTGATGGACAGGGAGGCCTGGCGTGATGTGGTCCATGGGGTCGCAAAGAGTCGGACACGACTGAGCAACTGAACTGACTTATTCTTCCTTGTTTCTTTTATTTGGAAAATTGTATAAGACAGCAAAGTACTAGGTATACTCATTGGTACTAGAACATCATTGCTTCTA